AAATTCCAAAACAAATCTTTCCTTGTTAACCTGTGGATCCCTCAGAACCATGCTTATATCACTATCTGCAAATAGGATTTTTGAATATAAGACCAGCAACAATGCTGGCAAGATTTTTCTTTCTTTGCTCTCTCTCCACGGTCCCTCTTCTCTTAACTAGCCTTAGTAATTAGGTTTGGCTTAAGAGCATCTGCCAAATTTCTCTTTCGTGGCATATTCCCTTGATGTCTTTGTCAAGAAAATGGACATCAATGGAAATTCTCAGGCGTGACCCTGGGAATGTGTGGGTGGGTGCGTGTTGGACTTCAGAAGTGCTTTACTTACATTGCAACTTGACAAGTGACGGTGTGCACACCAGAACATGAAGCCTTGCCCACTGAATGCAGGAGGGACCCTCTGAGCGACCCCTGGGGCAGGTAGTGCAGCCCACAGATAAGGGGTCCCTGTTTCATCTGGACGATGGGAGGATACTTAGGTCCAAGGCCAAGGGAAGTCAAGATAAACCTCAGAGATGAGGGCTTTGCCAGGGTTCCCACCATTTACCTGCCCTTGGCTCATGTCCCTTTGTCTTACCACATTTTTACAGAATTTTCTTCTCTTCTCCCAACCTAGTCTAAAAACATGCAGGTTTAACCATCACTTTGGGTTTTATAAAGGCTCCTGTGTCACCTAAGACTTAAAATAAATAAGCATTCCTTTCTCTGTTTGTCTATTGTTGCAGGCTCCAGCTGATCCTATAGGAACAGAAGGGGAGGGGCCGGTATTGTGGTATAGTGGGTTAAGCTGCCACCTGCAATGCCTGCATTAGATGTGAGTGTTAAGTTCAAGTCCTGGCTGCTCTGCTTGAGATCCAGCTCCATGCTGATGGCCTGGGAAAGCAGCAGAAGAGGGCTCAAGTCCTCGGGCTCCTGCCACCCATGTGGGAGACCTGCATGGAGTTCCAGACCACCTGTTCAGGCTGGGCCCAGCCCTGGTTGTTAAGGCCATTTGGGAAGTGAAACAGAGCATTACTTTCTCTGTAGTTGCTTTTCAAGTATATAAATACATCTTAAAAAAAAAAAAGAAGCGGGGGAAATAAATTGTTTCCCTTCCCTACAGGTCCTAATTGGTCATTATGTTCCACCCAGAGACTGCAGGCGAAATCCATGGCCTTTATTTATTTACTTATTTATTGACAGGCAGAGTGGACAGTGAGAGAGAGAGAGAGAGAGAGAAAGGTCTTCCTTTGCCGTTGGTTCACCCTCCAATGGCCGCCACGGCTGGCGCGCTGTGGCTGGCGCACCGCGCTGATCCGATGGCAGGAGCCAGGTACTTCTCCTGGTCTCCCATAGGGTGCAGGGCCCAAGCACTTGGGCCATCCTCTACTGCACTCCTGGGCCACAGCAGAGAGCTGGCCTGGAAGAGGGGCAACTGGGACAGAATCCGGTGCCCCGAGCGGGACTAGAACCCGGTGTGCCAGCGCCGCAAGGCGGAGGATTAGCCTAGTGAGCTGCGGTGCCAGCTGAAATCCACGGCCTTTAACAGAGCTGCCACAAGCAGCGTTTCTCATGAAGTCGCGACTCCTGAATTTGCACGCACAGGGCCCCAAGCAGTCATTAGATCTGAATCGTCTCCCTTTCCACATTTAGCCTACCAGGAGAAAAAACTACTTGGAAGTATTTGTGGTTTGGGTATTCTTGGGGTTCTGGTCCTCTCCCTCTCCCAGCAGCTGCTGTTCTGTCAGTCTCATTCTGGATGGAGAGTTTGCCACTGTAACACATGTGTCTCTGCCTGCAGGGGCAGGGTGACTGGACACAGTGTGGGCTGCCCTCCTTGGCAGCGATGTCCTGCTGACCACTGCCAGCCCTCAGGACGCTGTCTTTGCCTTTCCTGCCTTCTACTGCCTTTGGGGGGTGGCTCTGGTCGGTGACGATGCCCACTGGTGTCCCCTCTGTGGGGGATGCCTTTGTGCACCTTTGCTAATCTATTGGCATATTGGCTTTGGATCTGAGTTACAGTTGGAACAGGTGTAGCTCTGAAGATTCGGACTTGTATATCTAAGTTTTTTTTAATTGTTTTAGAGCTCTCATTCTTTTTCTAAAGATGTATTCGAAAGTCAGAGTTACACAGACAATGGAAGAGAGGGAGAGAGAGGAAGAGTGAACACACAGAGAATGGAAGAGATAGAGGGAGGGAGGGCGGGCATTTCCATCTGCTGGTCCACTTCCCAAATGGCTAGGGATGGGTCTATCTAATACTAGGAGCGAGGAGTTTCTTCTGGGTCTCTCACGTGGAAGTGGGGGCCCGAGCATTTGAGCACCTTTCATTATTTTCTAAGCACATTAGCAGGGAGCGGGCTTGGAAGAGGAGCAGTCAGGATTTGAACTGGAGCCCACATGGGATGCCAGCATTGCAGGTGGTGGCTTTTCCTGCTAGGCCACAATGCCAGCCCCTAGAGTTCTCATCCTAAACAAAGGTATTACTGGAACTTACAAGAAGACTGAATGAAAGAAAAAATGGAAAAGAGAGAATCCCTTAGCTGGTCTGAAAAAACCAGCAAGCAAACCAGCAAAATACCTCCCATAACGAGGTAAGGGGCTGAGATCAGCCTTAGAAAGAAAGTTGGGGACTGCAAAAGGCACTCATAGACTCACTGATGCTGAGAGCCAGAAAGTAGCTATGCCAAAGCCCCAGGAGGACGTCGTGAGGCAGTTTAATGTCCCTGATAAATCCCACTTATTTCTTGAGACTCTGATCAAACCTCTGTAGCTCTGAGCTTTCCCATGCAAATCACTTTACAAGTGTGTTTCTGGGCGGCAGCCCTAAGAATTCACAGGGCTGTACAACACCAGAAGAAAAGAGTCAACCACAATGACCCTGGACTTGGAAATATCCCCCCCAATTCCTTCCTGGAGAAGCCCAGCATCCTTTCTTGGTCACCTGGAGGTATAATTATACCATCTCTTCAATATGCAAGCTCCCATAGAGGTGACTCAGGCCTCCCAAATTGAACAGGGGCCAGCAGAGGTTGTCTACAATCAATTTGCTACTGGATATCTCCAGGGGAGACGAAAATTTAGCCCACAGACCCTTGTGATTATTTTTCAAGGGTAAAGCAAAATGCTCAAAGTCTTTTCCATAAATATCAATAAAAAGCCTTAGCCACAACTGAGAGGAAACCTTGCCTTATTCTAACTGCCATCAACACCATAATGAGGCAAAAAATGAGAAACGACTCTAAGGAAATGAGTGACTATTCTATCTCTGTACTGCCCCCCAACGCATGGCTCAGAAGTAGAAAGAAAGCCGTCTCCTGTCTGTGTGTGAATATGTGCTACGACACACAGTCCGCCCTCTGGATGGTGTCCTAGAATGGATTTATAAAATCTCCTAACAAAGTTCTATCCAAATTGACTTTGAGGAATGTGAGTACGTACAAGAATTAATTATTCCTGAAAATCTCAGAAGCATAGGAGCTTTTTATGTTCATAAAACTTGGGTAAATCTTTGTGAAATAACATTTGTTTAACAGTGTACATTAATAGAAACAGTTCTGTTTGCTGAGTTAAGATGAACATATTTTTTTTTTCCTGTTTGGGTTTGCTTATCAAATAAAACTAACCAGAGTTGACAGAAAAATAATGACTGTTAAGTGATGGCTGGCTTTGGTTGGTGTGACGTGTATCTAACAAAATACAGCTTCCCAAATCATTTTGGTGATTTTCATTCTTAAAGTCATACAAAAATAAATTAAATAGTAGGTATGCATTCCATGTCCCATCTCAAAGATGAACTACTGAAATGGTGACTACTCAGTTTAAGTTTGTATACCTTCAGCATCTTGTTTTTACAGAGTATAGAGGAACTAAATACATTTGGAGCTGTTAACAAACACGAGGAAGAGTACACGTGGAAGCATATGTCTGTAGGCCGGCGCCTCGGCTCACTAGGCTAATCCTCCGCCTAGCGGCGCCGGCACCCCGGGTTCTAGTCCCGGTCGGGGCGCCGGATTCTGTCCCGGTTGCCCCTCTTCCAGGCCAGCTCTCTGCTGTGGCCAGGGAGTGCAGTGGAGGATGGCCCAGGTGCTTGGGCCCTGCACCCCATGGGAGACCAGGAAAAGCACCTGGCTCCTGGCTCCTGCCATCGGATCAGCGCGGTGCACCGGCCGCAGCGCACCGGCCGCACCGGCCATTGGAGAGTGAACCAACGGCAAAGGAAGACCTTTCTCTCTGTCTCTCTCTCACTGTCAAAAAAAAAAAAAAAAAAAAAAGCATATGTCTGTGAGAAGGTGAGACGTTCTCTCCACAGTGTGCAGTGTGCTCATGAATGCAGTCATCCCAACACAGAATTCACAACTGTCTACTTGCTATTCTTCGCTGCAAAAGAAAGGCTACTAACGGTGAAAAATTATACTCAATATCGGAATTAAAACTACCAAATAATACGGGGGACAACTTTATATACAAAGTATGCAAGGATCATAGGAGTGGTTTTGATTTTTAAAAGTATGTAAGATAGGAAGATAGGTAATTGTAAAGGAAAGATAAAAGGAATAATTTTGGCCCATAGTCAGGAGGACTGATCATTCTAAATTGAGAGCAATGAAGGCAAATGCTGCACAGAAATTTGTAAAATGTTTGCAGAGAAAAGATGTCATCCCACGCACTACACCGACAGAGATGTGAAAGGGTTTATTAGAAGGTTTGAAAATGAGCTAAAAGCCCAGCAGTCTCCCTATGCAAAACTGAAACTTGATTTTCTTTGACTGTTAAAGGGCAAGGTTTCGCTGGATTATTGTTAAACACTTGTATTTACCCATTGAGCTATTCGCCTAAAAAGCAAAGAATTTATCTTTTATCAAAAATCGTTTTCCTGTGCTTCTTGTTGCCTTTATCAGATCTTTACTTCTAAGAAAAAAAAAAACACAAAACCTCAACTTTCTCAATATTACAGAGCTCAGAGGGCTGGGCCTTTGGCCTCATGGCTGGGTGCCGTATCCCACTAACAGTGTTTAACTTCCACGTCCATCTCCAGCGCATGGCTTTAGCTTCCTGCAGGTGCCAACCCAGAGGGGCAGAGGGGCTGGCTCAAGTGGTTGATTTCCTACCCCCTGTCATGGGAGGCCCAGATTAAGCTCTGAGCTCCTGGCTCGAGGCTCAGCCCCAGCCCAGTAGTGGCCCCGGCAGACACGTGGAGTGTGGGCCAGGAGAGGAGCTCTCCTGTGTGGGGAGCAACTCGGACTGGACTGAGTTACTGGAATTAAGACTTATTCTATGCATCTGCTCTCCCACAATATGGCGCTGGGAGAGGAGGAAACAGCTTCTACGCAGCTGCCTCTCGCCAACTTGAGTGATGACCTGCAGGAGCTGATCCTGCTCCTGATTGGAGGAGAGCAGTGTACTCGGCGTGTGGGTAGCAGAGTTGGGATTGGTGGAAGAGGACTATAAAGGAGGAGAGAGACGGCATGCACCAGGAACATCTATCTGAAGGAACACTTGAGCAGCCCCCGAGAGAGCCGGCCGGCGGTGTGCCGCTCCCCCGCGGAAGTGGGGAAAGTGGCTAGGGGGAACCGCCCTTCCACGGAGGTGGAAGGGACGGTAGCCAACCCGGGAAGAACCAGCCGCAAACCCGGGGAGGGCCGAGCAGACAAAAGAACAGCGCAGGGTCCTGTGTCGTTCCTCCACGAAGAGGGGGAGCGACATCCTGGTCACTCAAATAACTGACTTTTTAAACACTAACATGATGTTCGCTTTTTCCAACCGTGCACCTTTCTGTATTTGCCATTGAAATACTTAACTGTCACTCTGGTTAAATGGACGACGAAGTGTTGCTTAATAATAATCTGTGATTCCATTTAACCAAGACTTCAAGGCTTTTAGTATATTTTTACAAAATTCCCGAAGTCCAATTTTAAACTAAGTCTTTTGATCTCCCACTAAGTTTGAAACTTCCCAGAGGGCTCTTAGGAAATCTCAGAAGAATCTGTCTTTTACCGTGTAAAAAGGAGATGTTAAATGAGTGGGACTTATTTGTTATGTTAAACCTTCTGGGGTAGCAGTATGAAATAAGAAGTGAGGATAAACCTTTTTATGGGATATCTCTGTGGACTGATGTGATCTGTGTGCGCTTTAGAAAGCTTGGGAATTCCTAACCGTGTCCGTCTTCCTCATCGTCCATGGAAGGGGTCCTGATTCCAGTGACCTCTATACGCTGTGTGCCACAGTGCAGTCAACGCTCAGCAGACCTTGTGCCGTGATGGCTTCCTGCCTCGCGGCATTCAGTCCTCCATGGTGAGCACAACCTGCTCCAGGACCCTGCAGGGCTCACTGCTGGGTCGTGTTTAATCACATGGGGCTGAAGGGGCTGAGGGAGGATGCTGACTGTTATGGTCTACTTGGTTAAAACAATGCAGTGCTTCCACGTTTCCTCTTCCAGCTCTAAGCAACTCCTTTGCTCTTTTAAATTCTAAGAACTGGGGAAACCTGGTCAATTATCCCCTCAGAAACAGAAACAAAGCATTTGGTGCTTTGCCCCTACTTGATTGCTCCAAAGTTCAGAAACTATGACTGAGTGTTCCTGTTTGCATGGCTCTATCGTTATTGTGCGACACTTCAGTGAGAGTCTGTTTTCCGTGCAACGGGAAATAACAGAGACACCAGTGGTATCTCCAAGGCTGGTGGCCGGGGTGTCACACTGGAGAATGACGAGCACACACTCAGATACGAGCAGAAAGCTGAAAGGGACGAAGGCTGACTTGACGCAGCCACAACCCTGTGGAGACATCGGTCAGTTGCGTGGCTGACAGGGCTCCCAGCCTTACAGGTGCATTAAAAATGTGATGTTCTGAACCTCGGGAAATGGTAGGGACTTAAGAAGAGAATGTCTGCAAATCTACGCTTGGCTTCCTAGCTTCCAAAGGCTTTGAAACGTCTCATCTGAGATTCCTGATAGAAATTCCCAGCAGGGCAAACTAAAGAAAGATCTTATGTAGCTAATGACAGCTCTTGATGCATATACATAAATACTCAGGTCAAGTCTACAGAAAGGACATATTCTGCAAACAAATTAGTCCTATTCTGAGTCTCCCAGAGAAATGGCAGTGACTGCAGAGAGAAAAATTGTATTTTTATGAAAGAGTGGAGCATTCCCAGTGGGTTATTTGCTTTTCCCACCCTGTTCCTCGTACTCAAAGTTTCCTTATCCACCTGTAAACTGGATTGGATCCTGCTTAATTCTTGTAGCCTCCTATAAAACCCGGCTTCAAGTTAACATCTTGCAGCGTTCTTTCCGCCTCTCGATTTGGCACCACTGAGAGCTAAAACCCGACGGCTCAGACGTTTGCTGAAAAAACCAGAAGGATGCCTGCAAGCCGAAGGCGGACAGGTCCATGGTCTGCTCCAAGACCCAGCCACAAGGATGCCTCCACAGAGGACGGCAGGATAACAACCAGGCATTCGCTGGGCACCTCCTGCGGCTCTCTGTTCACTGCCCGAGGAGCTCCTGGTGTTCCACGGGCACAGCTCTGTGTGAATGCACTCTGGACCCGAGAGCAGAGTTTGGAGTTTGTTTTCACCTTTACCTCTTGTTTACTTGCCAAGGGAATGCCTCTTCCTAGAGGGCTGCTCACACTCTGTCAGTGCACACCCCACTCCCATGCACATGACTGCTCCAGAGACAAGACGCAACCATCTCAGTGGCCCGACCTGCAGCCAGGGCGTACAGATGTGCTCGCTGGGGTGGGCACCTTCTGCCCCTTCACCTTCTGGACTCCAAAGTTCCAACCAGGAGAAGCACGGGGCTCCGAACACATGATACCCAGGTCTGGAGCCTATCGCAAGTTAAACCAGAGGAAGCTGAGAGGCAGCAGGTCCAGGAAGGACCCCTGAGCTTCCCCTGCAGTGGTCATGAGACCCTGACGGGAGCAGTGCCCTCCCTATGGCCAGGAGAAGGAGCAGCCTCACCTGTGAAGGCAGACGAAGGCTGGGAGCGTCTGAGCTGCCTGTGCCGTGCTGGTATCAGGCTCAGCACACACCTCCCTCCCACCTCACTCTGCAGCGCTTGCCCTGCCCATCACCTCCAAAGTGGAGGCACTCAGGTTGCTCTGCTACTGGCAGGCAGCAGGGTGCACCTTCGTTTCCCGATGAAGGCTCCCATCACTTTACATCAAACACGTATGTATGCCCTGTCGCCCTGTCTCGTCTTACAGGCTGCAACGGAGATCCCAGAAAGGGTGGGGGAAACAATTTGTTTTAGTCTCCTTTGAAATTAATGAAATTACTTCAAATCGGAGCAAAGCTGTCCAGGACAGATGGGATTTAGCTCTCAGGCCCAACAAGGATTTCATTCCACTCCCAGATTCTTACACACTTTTGTTCCACCCTCACTCTGATTCCAGCAGGAAATAGCTTGGCTTTTTCTTCTTATTCCCAAATAAAATTTTTGAGGGACTGCCATTGGCTGCTAATTTCATAGCATGGATGTTCTGGGGCGGATGTTGTGGCATAAAGAGTGAAGCTGCCGTCTGCACTTCCAGCATCTCCTGTGGGCGCTGGTTCAAGTCCCAGCAGCTCCACTTACAATCCAGCTCCCTGCTAGCAGCCTGGTAAAAGCAGTGGGAGATGGCTCAAGTAATGGGGCCCCTGCATCCACTGTGGGAGACCTGGAAGAAGCTCCAACCTCCTGGTTCTATCTGGCCCAGCCCTGGCCACTGAGGCCATCTGGGGAGTGACCACCAGATGGAATACATTTTGTCTCTGTGTCCTTCTCTCTCACAGTGACTCTGGCTTTCAAATAAACAAATACAAAAAAAGACTAGAGAATGGAAAATCTCCATTCCCAATTTTGTCAAGTGAATTTTCTGAGAGCTTCTTCAGTTACAAAAATTTTCCATTATTTTCCCCAAATCACTTCACTGTGGTGCTCTGTCCCAACCTCCGCCTTTTCGTTTTCCAAGCGATGGCTCAAACGACTGTGTAAAGGGCAAAGGAACCGAGGGAAATGCTCGCTGTAGATTTTTACTTCTGTCTTCTTCTCCTCCTTACCACGCATTTTGTGATCTGCACTGTGACCCCTTAATACACAAGCGGCCTCTTACACCTCTCCAGCCATTCTGGTTCTCTTAGTCTAATGTTGCTTGTAATTCTTTGCCCTCCGGGTGTCTCTGTAATGTATCTAAGACCACTCACCCCTTATTTCTTGGTTCTCCTGTCCCTTGATTTTCAAAACTGTTGATGCTGAATTTGTTAGGGTTGAAAAAGCATCCGCCACCCCAGGAACGACTCCAAGAGACTCTCTCATGCAATCAGCAAGGGGTTTATTGATCCAGCATTCTGGGGCTCCCTGAACACGCAAGAACAGAGAAGCCCCAAGGAGTTGAGGGTCAGGGTTTTTAAAGGGAAAAAAAAGGCTACATCAGCAGGGAAAGAGTTACATACAGCATGGAATCTTTGGGCACAGGGAGTTACAGGGGGTGCTCACAGCTCGGGAGCTTTGGGCACAGGGAGTTACTTTGTTTAGCAAGCTCTGCTGTGCTGTCCTTGGTCTGCCGAGCTAGCTGTCCCTGGTGAGCTTTGATATCTCCGGAATGCCTGAATGCATGCTTTTACGAGGACCTGGATCTGCTATGGGAAACGGAGGCTGCTTTTTTTTTATTGTTTTAAAAATGGAGTCACTTTGGTTCTTCAAATTCACCTGCGAATGCCTCTCCCTGGAGCACATTCCCACCAGGACTTCATCCTTGGCTCGGCTACTCTTTCTGTCTTCGTCCCTTTTCCTTCAAGATCTCATTCACTACATGGCTGCTACCAGGACAACATGATGCTGCTCATCCTCAAATCTGCGTCTTCAGGCTGAGGGAGCTCTCAGTGGTTCCCAGTTCTACTTCAGTCACAAACTCCTTTTAGGTTGGGGTTTCTGTTTTGTCGTCTCTTTTACAGCTCATCGCTTGCTATGGTGCCTTTATCACTACACATACCTAATATACTATGATTACATAAAAGGTTTAAACTGATTACATGGATTAGTAAAACATCTAAGTGCTTGAAGTCAGACTAATGCATCATTGGTCAAATCAGTTAATTTTTTAATTGTTACTTTCATCTCAAAATCACAGAAGATGGAACAATGACTATGATCTCTGCTAAAATAAAATTTCTGTCTCTAAAATTCTCCATTGTTTCCCTTTAAAAATGAAAATAAAAAGGTGTGCATTTGGTCTAGTGGTTGACACACCAGTCGCGATACCTGCATCCTACACAGAATAGTTATTCTGAATCCAGCCTCTGCCTCCTGACTCCAGCTCATCGTAATGCAGGCCTTTGGAGGCAACAGATGATGGCTCAAAGAACTGTGTTCCATTAACCCACATGGGAAG